AACCAACAAAAACCCCAAAACCCCAAAACCCCAAAACCCCATCAAATTGAAATAATTATAATTATGATGATAATAATGAAATAAATATTGTTGGTAAACTTAAATTTAATCACTAATTAATTATTCAAGAAATATTAGGTGGCATCTTTGGAATATCCTCATTTGGCTTATTTCTTCCCCATAGTCTGATTTTGTGATCGTTACTTGTTGACGCCAGCATATGACCCTAAGGATGCCAAGCCATGCCCCACACCATTGCTGTATGAGCTTTGCTTATAGTATGCAGATGGCCAGAGTTAGCTTACCAATAAATAATCTCTCCATTATGTGAGGCACTAGCAAATAATTCCTCCTTGAAGGGATGCCAGGCTATCACAGTCACTTAATCAGAGTGCCTCTAAAATACATTGAACTCCTTCATTGTTCTAATATCATATACTTTCAAAGATAAATCTCTCGAGCCAGTCAATAGCCAGTTTCCATTTATTGGGTTCCATCTCACCTAGTTAATTGTGTTATTATGGCATTACAGACTCTAGACTTCCTTCCCTGATTTGGGATCCCAAATTTTAACATAGTTATCTTTGCTACCAGTGACTACCAGCGACTAAAAAGGATGCCAATCACAGGTCTTCACATCGGAACCATGACCTTCAAAGCATATCTCTTCTTAACTTGTTACAAAATCAAATAGTCTGGCAGTTCTATCGTCTGAGCAGGATAGAAACTTCATTGAGCTTACTGAAAATGAGATGTCTCTCACACATGCCTAGTTATAGGCTGAGAACATGTTTCTTTGATTTAGAATACTGTCGCAGTAGACTATATTGCCTATCTTATCTCCACTAATCAAGAACCTTTCATTGTTAGACCAGCACATGCACTATACTCTATCCTTGTGAACTGAAGTTGCCTTCTCATACTCAAAGTTAGGGACATACCAAGTTATTATATCTCCCTTAGATGTGCCAGTTAATATTCTCTTGCCTCCTTGCATCCATTTAATAGCAAATAAGGGATTCCCTTGTCTGTTTTGCTACTCAGCTAAAAACTTAGGACAGGCATATTCCCAATCCTTTTGATAGATTTCTTAGGCAGGGAATGTATACTTCCCATAAGAGGGATGAGGATAAATTGCGGGTCTGTCAGCAGGATCAAAATCATACTCACTAAACTGCTAATAATTGGTATCAGTTGCCATAAAGTCAAAAGAAGCATTTGAAGCTGCTTAGGGCTACAGACGATTCAGCTGATTCAGCATAGCCTATAGATAAATTTATACTTTGATGTCAATTTACCTACATTAGGGAAGCCTCCTTATGATCTCATTTTTAAGTTTATAATTATTAATTATAATCATTAAGGAAATTAAAAGAGATTTAATTTAAGATTTAACATCAAGCCATCCAAGTAAATAACACATTTATATATATTCTCATCATGACTGATAAGACTCAAAATCCATTTCCTTGGCCTGCTATCTATTCTTATACACAGTCTTCTCATAATCAATTAACTCCTCTCTGGCTTGAGACACCATAGTCTTGATGAAATCCAATGCCTCTTACAATGTCTCAAGGTCTCTTTCATCTGCAGGAAACTACTACTGGTACTAGAGAAATTATCTCCTATCAAGTGGTTTGTTCTTCTCGTCTTACTTTTCTTTCATTGCTGTAGCATTTTTCGATTCCTCAGTTTCACCTGCAGGTGCTGCTGTACCAATTGCTAAAGGCTTCTCACCTGCGACATCTTTCATTAAGGAGGATTCATCGTTTTAGTTTTGCCTGTTCTCAGTCATATCAACATCTTCAATACCCCTAGCTTCAGACTAGAGTGCTTATGGCATTCTATTGTGTCCTTTATCAAGAATGTATGCAAAATTTTCAGTGGGCTCAAAAAATACAATCTCATCATACTTCTCACTGATTACAGGCTTCTTTGTCGACTACTGCTAGCCATCATAAGGCTGTAGCTTCAAAAAGTGGACTAATTCCACAGGTTTTTCTGCTGGGTCGACAAAGAAGATCTTAATACCAATATCAAACTCTCCCCAGCCAGTTTAGCATATTTCAAAGGGGAATTTCTCAATTGCTAAAATGTAATTGTATTTAATTTGAGAATGAGTTACTTTTATATTGTTCTTCTTTGAAGGAAGGATGCAGTTGGAATTGTACCTTTTTGATAAAGTAAGACAAATCTTCCTCATTAAGACCTCTGACATAGCAAGACCATCTATAATTTTAAATTATTACAAAAACAGAGTATTACTTGTGAGTTTAAGTCTCTAGAGCCTTTTTACCTTGGAAAAGAGCGATGGAGCCTACCACAATAGGCACATACTTGGTGACATTCTTGAGCCTTCTGTTTGATGAGCGGGAAGCCATTTTGATTATTTATACTTGCAACTTATAATTATTTAATTAATTTACTTTAACTAGCTGCTCTTAAATTTTATAATAACTGGCGGGGTTTTGGGGTTTTGGGGTTTTGGGG